AGTTGGAGCTCCTGGTACAGCCGTACCAGCACAGTTATTGGTGTTCCGTTTGCCTTGTTCCGTTTCAGGATTCATTCCAGCTCCATGTTTCACTTGGGAAATGCAGCAGGCCTAAAATTTCAGTTCTACCCAACAAGCATATGAAATCATATCCCCAAAGCAATGGTAACAACCCAGCATCACTACCACCACCATCGCAGCGTTAACCAAGGTGTCAGTCCTTTACCGAAGATGGAGGTGCCCCTCAACGTGTAGCCACCAAAGCTGAAGACATGGGAGTGGTCGGCGGTCACCACGCTCAGAGTCTCATCTTCATCCGTCAGTTCTCCTACCCGCTGGATGGCCTTATCGAACACTACCGCCTCCGTCAGAGCACGCTTGGCAAGGCCACTGTGGTGTGCCAGGTCGATGTTACCTCGTGCAGAGAAAAGGACACACTCCATGTCAGATGTCTGGCAAACTACAAACACTCCTTGGATTGAATGGGTTTCTCAGGTTTTAAGACTCCTCAAATAGATTCTGTATGACTACTTCCTGGGTCCCCACAGAAAGAAAATCTCACTGTTTCTCCACCCTCGTGCTGTCTCTAATCCTCCGCCCTGAATTTTTCAGAGATTTAGGGAGCTAATTGAAAGGGGACATTGTTATGATCTACAACCATCACATGGGTGGCTGCAAGAGCCATAGGATGCTTGCAGAACAGCTGATTGACAGAACCCCACTCTGCCCATCACATGATGCACACTCACTTCCAGTGGGGTTCCATCAGTCAACTGTGGCACAAACGTCCTATGACACTTTGCTTCCCATGTTCTGTAGGAAACAACAGGGCCAATGTGGGGGGAAGCCGTGCTGCAACACTTCCCCACATGTAATGGGGAAGTGTCACTGCAGGTGAGACAGGGTGCAGGGCACCAGGATTGTCCTGCTGTCTTGCAGATTCACGACAGAAGCTGGCAAATCAACCTGCTGCCCCCTCATCAATGTGATGAGGTCCTTAGATTGTAGGGGAGGTGGTTCAGGCAGTCCAGCCAACCAGGATACCATCCAGAAGAATAATAAAAACATAAAACTCTACAACAAATTAATTGCAATCCCTAACACTAACCATTAACTGCAATATTTGCAGCCAGGGATGGGATGCTTTCGGTTTTGGTCACTCAAAACCAAGCCATCTGATAGTACTTTGGTTACAACAAGGATAGCTCATATCCTGGTAAATCCAGGCCTCTTCCACACTGCCCCTATATTCCAGGATCTGATCCCAGGTTATCTGCTTTGAACTGGATTATATGGGTCTACACTGCCAGAGAATCTGGGATAAGCAGATAATCAGGGGTCAGATCCTGGGATATAAGAGCAGTGTGGAAGGCACCTCAGTTTCCCATTGAAATTCTGTGAGAAACTGAGGCCCTATCTACACTGGAAAGAGGGGAATATCAAGCATATAGTGGTAAGTAATGTCACAATCTCCCCCACTCTTAGAGTTTCGACCCTGCGAATCATGATTCGGATATACCCAAGGATTCCACAATCCAACTTATCTTCAACGAAAAGGTAGAAACCCTTGGGGTTGCGTTTGAGCAGCTTGATTGCAACTTCTATCATCTCTATGAGAGATGGGTCGTTAGTGCGCTTCAGCTCATATTGCATGTCCTTGGGTTCAAAGAGACCTGCAGGGAAGGATGGAGAAAGAGGAAATAGCAGCTGTAAGTAGTTTCTGTGTAGAGATGGACCTGAGGCATGTCAAGATGAGAAGATGGGCTGGGAAGAGGAATTGGGTTTGGTTTATCCAACCAGGACAGTTTACAATTGTGGCCCTGTTTGGGGTGTACCATTTCAGGATGTGAGTGAGATTAGATTGTGGGTGCAGAAGGCTCTTCCTGTGGGCTGTAGACCACTAGTGGGCCGTGAAGATGAAAATCTGGTCCGTGAGCCTCTGCTCCTTTCGAACCACGTGCTACTCCTTCCCTGTCACTGACCAGCCCAACCCCTTGGATAGACCACATCCATTCTAGATTATTAAATATGGTTTTCTTTAGGTGAGTAGATAGTCTGTATGTTCTGATATGTTCTGTTTCAGAAACTAGAGCTGATGTGGTCTATCTGAATCAGCACCCCAAATAACCAAACCAAATCTAAAGTTGACCAAAAACTGATTTGTAACCCTTTTGGCATTAATGTTGGAGAGTGGTCCATGGTCAAAGTGGTCTCTGGTCAAAAAAGGTTGAGAAAAAAAAACAAAACAAACATCTGTTATAGAACTCCAGTATGCTGATGACAATGTCTCGGTGCGCATTCAGAAGAAGATCTACAAGCCACTCTAAACACCTTCGCAGAAGCATACGAGAAGCTTGGCCTGTCATTGAACATCGAGAAAACCAAAGTGCTGTTCCAGCAGTCACCAGCCAACCCCTCTCCAATGCCAGAGATACAACTTAATGGTGTAACATTAGAAAATGTTGACCATTTCCACTACCTTGGCAGCCACCTCTCCACCAAAGTCAACATTGACACTGAAATACAACACTGACTGAGCTCTGCGAGTGCAGCTTTTTTCCAAATGAAGCAGAGTGTTTGAGGACTGGGACATCCGTAGGGATACCAAGGTGCTTGTCTATAAAGCTATTGTCCTCCCAACCCTGCTCTATGCCTGCGAATGGACTGTCTACAGACGTCACATGCAACTTCTGGAACGATTCCATCAGCGCTGCCTCCGGAAAATCCTGTAAATCTCTTGGGAAGACAAGCGGACAAATGTCAGCGTGCTGGAAGAAGCAAAGACCACCAGCATTGAAGCGATGGTCCTCTGCCATCAACTCCGCTGGACCGGCCACATTGTCCAGATGCCTAACCACTGTCTCCCAAAGCAGTTGCTCTACTCTGAACTCAAGAATGGAAAACAGAATGTTGGCGGGAAAGAAAAGAGATTTAAAGATGGGCTCAAAGCCAACCTTAAAAACTCTGGCATAGACACTGAGAACTGGGAAGCCCTGGCCCTTGAGCGCTCCAGCTGGAGGTCAGCTGTGACCAGCAGTGCTGTAGAATTTGAAGAGGCACATGGAGGGCGAAAGAGAGAAACGTGCCAAGAGGAAGGTGCGTCAAGCCAACCCCGACTGGGACCGCCTTCCACCTGGAAACCAATGCCCTCACTGCGGGAGAAGATGCAGATCAAGAATAGGGCTCCATAGTCACCTATGGAGGAAGATAATCCTACTCGGACAATGAGACATCGCCTAAGTAAGAAAGAAAGAAAGAAAGGTCAAAAAAAGGTTGGGAACCACAGCTTTAAACACTTCTCTGACAAGTATATTATGATTTCCCCTTTCCTCTTGGGGATGCGTTCACATATGGATGTTGGGATCCTACAATTTGAAATGGTACAGTCCAAAAAGTCTTTACCACACCATTCTCCACAGTATCAAAACTGATCTTTAATGTGCTGTAAGAGTTGAATACTGGACGAGGGCTCTGGAACTCAAGGGTTCAAATCCTTGTTCAGTCATGGAAATATACTGGATAACTGGGGACAAGTCAATTTTTCAGCCTGAGAGAACTAATCCACCCTGAACAGGTCTTGTCAAAGAAATCCTATGATAGGCTCCCTATATGTTGAAGTTAATTTGAAGGCACATATCAAAAAATATGGATGTGGGTTTTTTTGAGCATTGGACTACAACCCTGAAACCAAGGTTTGATTCCCCATTTAGCCATGAAGGTTCTCAGCCCTTAGGGTTGCCATATATTGGAAATATCACATAATAAAGGCAGATGATGACAAAATATACTTTCTGGCATCAGCTGGGAGACAGGTTTGAACACTTTACCCATGAGGCGGCTCACATTCGGGTCATCGGCAGCTGCCAAAAGGTCTGTTTTGTTCCAGACATATTTGGAGCCCTGGGTACAAAAAGAAATAGGAAAAGGAATGACATCTGTCTACTAAAGATGAATATTCCTTGCCACATTCATGGTAGAAATGTAACCTGAATGGCAAGAAATGGTGGACATAGGATGCATTCAGTACATTTAGCTTGTTCTGGCCTGGAGTTTGAAATCGTGTGGGATCTTCCAGACTTTGGCTCAGTCATTAAGCAGAATGGAGACTTCAATAAATCAGAAGAAGACTGTTGCTTAGAAGGGTAGCTATGAAGGAATTAGACAAGATCCTGAAGTATAGATATATATCGCTGAATACTAAAGTTAGGATGGTCCGTGTCATTGTATTTCAAATTGCTATGTATGGAAAGCCCTGGCCCAACTTACCTGTCCGAATGCATCTCCCCTTATGAATCATCAAGGACCTTGAGATCGTCTGGGGAGGCACTGTTCTCAGCCCCGCCTTCGTTACAGGTACGTCTGGCGGGGACGAGAGACAGGGCCTTCTCAGTGGTGGCCCCTCAGCTGTGGAACGTCCTCCCTAGAGAGATTAGATCTGCTCCTTCCTTTCTTAACGTTTCGGAAACAAGTTAAAACATGGCTGTTTGAGCAAGTGTTCACAAATACAGAGTAACGGATATAGGAAATTGATGATTTGACGATGGAACTGGACAATGCTTGACAATAAGGAGACGCTAATGTTGTTTTTATTGCTTGTTGTGTTTTATGTTGTTTTAATGTTTTAAACTGTACTAGGATATTATGTATACTGTTTTGTTGGAAACCGCCTTGAGTCGCTGATAGGCTGAGAAAGGCGGTATACAGATACAGTAAATAAATAAATGAATGAATAAATAAAGATATGCAGTGAAGAAAACCAACAGGAAGAAAATCAACCCATTTGAGATGTGGTGCTGGAGAAGGGTTTGTTACACTGTAGGATCTAAATAGCAATGGTAAATAACCACTCACAAGCCGGCTTGCTTTGAAATGGATATATTGCTTTTATCTCTGCAGCAAAGGGAGACACTACTGCCTTTGTTCCCACCACCACTTCCTTTTATACACCTTTCCCACTCATCTCCCCCTCTTCTCAGTTTCCTTATTAGAACTTGTAGCTTCACAACAGTGGTTTCCAGAACCCTCTGCTGATTTCAGGATATCCCAGAGAGAGTTGATTCAATCAGGATGTCATGGAGGGAATTTGTGATGTCAGAAATTGCTCCTGACTGGGTTCTAAATATACTGTGGGATCAATAAAAGATCAATAAATGGAGCAAATCTGGGCTGTCCCTAGAAGCCAAGATGACTACATTGAGGTTGTCATACTTTGGACAGATTATGAGAAGACAGGACTCCCCAGGCAAAACAAGAATGCTTGGAAGGTAGAAGGTTGTTGGAAAAGAGGCAGAGCACCTTCCAGATGGACAGACGCCATCAAGGAAACTGCAACTTCCCTGAGCTATCCTATGTTACCAACAGTCCTTCTCATTTTTGTGATCACATGAAGCCCACAAAGCAAAAGGGAAAAGGCACAAGACACTTACTGGAGAAGCCTTCAGCCACTCAGTTATGAGGCTACGGTTATCCTTGCGGAGGCCAACATGAAGTGGGTTGGAAGGGTATTCAGGGTCCGGAGTTCCTGCCGGGGACATATACATCCTGCCTCCACCCAAGATCACCTGTCAGGAATAAATCACTTTGCAATAAAGATATAAGAAAGCCATATCAAATTGGGTTGCTGTGAGTTTTCTGGGCTGTCTGGCCATGTTTCAGAAGGATTCTCTCCTCACGTTTCACCCACATCTATGGAAGGCATCCTCAGAGGTTGTGAGTAGGCCTGGGTAACAACGGAAAAATTTGTTTCTAAAATCGATTTGTATTTGGGGGGTTTTTTTGTTTCGATATTTAAAATAATTACAAAATTTTCCCTTAAAAAAGTTCGGTATTTACGAAATTTCGTTAATATTAACGAATCAATTCGTTAAAATGGCGGACGCGGTTGCGCGACGTGAAAATAATAGTTTTAAATAATAGTTTTAACCTCGGAGAAGGAAAGAGGGGGGAAAGAGAGAGAGAGGAGGGGTGAAACAAACCACTTTCTGCCTTCGTGAATGTAAGGGACAGTGAAAGCAGTACTGAAAGATGGCCATCCATTCTTAATAATAATAATAATAATAATAAAATATAATTAATATAATAGTTTTAACCTGGAGAAGGAAAGGGCGGGAAGGAGAGAGAGAGGAGGGTGGGTGAGATCTCTACTCTGGTTTGACAATGCTTCTTCTCAATAATAATAATAATAATAATAATAATAATAATAACAAACCACTTTCTGCCTTCGTGAATGTAAGGGACAGTCAAAGCACTACTGAAAGATGGCCATCCATTCTTAATAATAATAATAATAATAATAAAATATAATAAATATAATAGTTTTAACCTGGAGAAGGAAAGAGGTTAGGCAGGCAACAGGCAGGTCTCTGAGTGCTGCACTGCTGTGTCTCTTTGCCCAATGCACGCAGGCCAGAGTGAGGAACGAGGTGAGGTGACGACACAGGAGGAGAGGAGAATTTGATCCACTTAAGCAGAGGCCAGGGACCCGGAAGTGGGGTAAATGCCGACCGCTTGCAACCAGGGAGAGGGGAGGGAAACAACTATAAAACTTGCACCAGACACATACGGAAATAATAACGAAACAATAACAAAACAATTACGAAATAGCTTTAAAAATTCGTTTCGTTTTTTAGTTGCTCCTGGATGGTTTGTTATCGCTTCGTTTACCCAAAAAATAACGAATTATTAACGAATTACGAAATTAACGAACGAAACCGCCCAGCCCTAGTTGTGAGGTCTGTGGGAAACACAGCAAGTGGGGTTTATATATCTGTAGAATAATGTCCAGGGTGGGAGAAAGAACTCTTTTCTGATTGAGGCAAGTGTGAATGTTGCTATTTGTCCTGACTTGCCCATCAAAAATAGCATTAATACAATGTTGGAATTAAAAGGAAAATGCTTTACTTCAGCAAATGCAATTGAAAAGTGCAAAAGAAAGCAAGGAAGTAGTAATCCGGACACAAATTAAAGTCTCTTACAAAGTCCCAAAAGAAACAGCAGTCTTCCATCAGACAACGGGCAATGATCACTAAGTCCTTAGCAGCAGACACAAAGCAGGTTCAATTGGAGTGAAAACATCAGCATCAGAGTCTTTGCCAGCGAAATCTGGCTGCTCCTGCTTCTGATTTATAGCCCTGAATTCCCACACAGGAGGTGCTAGGGCGTCTCCCAATTAGCTCAGCATTTTTAACAGCTGCTCTAGCTGAATGCCATCTGTGCTCTGTCTCCTTTCGTCTCTCTAGACATGTGGGCACTTTTAAAACCTCATTGTCTGATTCTTCTCCCTCCAATTCCTGAGTACTTCCCTGCTCCCCTTCCTCTTCCGAAGATGAGGAATCCCTAACACTATTTGCCAATTTGATTAGCATTTAATGGTGTTGTAACTTCAAAGCCAGGCTGATAGCTGCCTGGGGGAAACCTTTGTTGGGAGGTGTTAGCTGGCCCTGATTTATTCTTGTCCAGGATTCCCCTTTTTTTGAGTGTTGCTCCTACCTTGGACATTCCACAGATATATAAACTTCCCTTGTCTAGTTTGCAATATTCCTCATAACCTCTGAGCATGCCTGCCATAGATGCAGGTGAAACGCCAGGAGAGAATGCTTCTGGAACATGGCCATACAGCCCAGAAAACTCACAGCAACCCAGTGATTCCAACCATGAAAGCCTTCAACAACAAATATCAAGTTTCTTGGAGTACTCCTGTCAAGTTCAGACTGTAATCCAGAATGCGTTTACCAAGCCACTGTCCTCTAGATCAAGTTGATCTAGAGGACAGTGGCTTGGTAAACGCATTCTGGATTACAGTCTGAACTTGACAGGAGTACTCCAAGATGTGGCAAACCCTCCTCAAATTTGACCAGTATCTCTGCTAGCTTCCTTGAAGTTTAGGTTACAACCCATTGTGTACCTCACCTCACAGACATGGAAACTTCTGGCTTTCTTTATTGGTGGCATAAAGCGATTAGGGATGTGGAATTCTTACCTAATAAGCTCCATAATGTCAATTAGTGAACAGTAGTAGGACTTAAGGCCCTGATATCCCAGCATCTACAACAACCTTGACACACAAACTCCAAGAACTGCTCAGAAAGTGCATCAAACTACCATGCTCTCCAACCCTTTATTCCAGAAGTTGGCATTTCTACTACAAAACAGAGATTTATACTCTCTGGACCATTTTTCATAGCAACTATACAGCTCCAGGACCACATAATGTTCAGGTCTTCTACCTCAACAGATGATGTAGGAAAGGCCCAGTACAAAGATGGGGAATCTTAGGACCTGGGGTCCTGATCCACTCAATCTTCTAAGGTTCCCATCTGCTTCCACATCATTTGCTCATTCATTGGGACCCATATACATTCTTTCCTCCATTCTCCTGGTTCAACATTTTTGCTGCTAACGTTTATCCAGTGGACAAGATAAAATATGATGGATGTTTCTAGTCAAACCTTTCCAACTCACCCACCAATGAGTGGCAGGACAGGATGGTGGTATAGAAAGAAGGTTTGGTCTCCTCAACCTACCGTGAAGTTAACATTTTCCACAAGTTGTACAGAGATATCCTTGCAGCCTCCCCTGATGGCAGACTGGGGCATGCTGGAGTCAGCATACCAGTTCCGGCTTGCCACATGAGCATAGGTCCCAGCAGGCGATGCATGCTGGACCCGGGTGGTGGTCACAATCCCAACAGATTTACCTGAAAAAGGAGAGAAATTGAGGTTCAGGAAGAGGGAACTATCAAAGCTGGTCAGTGAAAACCCCTACATGAACTGAGATTTCATCCTCATGAATCTAGCAGGGATCTTATGGGAATTTGGGGCATCCAATATGGATCTAGATACATCTCACCCAATTCTGCCCTTGCTGTCCTTACCAGCTAGTTGGGCCCTCTTTACCACCGAGATCACTTCATTGCCTGCTGTTGTATTGCATTGCTTATACCGCGAAGCTGCATTCAGTCCAATGGTTCGATAGTTGCTCTTCACCCCACAGAGGTAGGCAGTGGCTGTGCCGGCGCTGTCTGGCACTTGCCGGTCCACGTTGTACGTCTGCCAGAAAACAAAGAGAACGTGGCTAGCAGCCAGCACTTCTGCGTGTTTGGGTGACTTGGCAGGGAGAAGAGAAAGGAAGGAAGGAGAACTGTTCTCTTACTAGAAAAGAACTAGGAGTGCATATACACCAGGCATGGGCAAACTTCAGCCCTCCAGGTGTTTTGGACTCGAACTTCCACAATTCCTACCAGCCTACCAGCTGGAGGACCAAAGTTTGCTCATGCCTGGTCTACACTGTAGAATGAATGCCATTTGACAACTGCCTTGGCTCTGTGCTATTGAATCACAGAAATTGCAATTTTATCAAGTCTTTTGTGCCAAAGTGTTCTGTCTTCCAGGAGCATAGTTTGCATTACCTTTAGTTGCATGGGATAGTGTTCCTTTGCATTTCCCCAGGGTTGCTACAATCTCTGTTGCACTCTGAAAGTTAACAGCAATAGAGGCTAGAAAGCCAGCCTGCAGGCCTCCTTTGCAGCTATTGGTTTAGAAAGTATCTCTTTGGGTCTAGGGACCGCCTTTTCTCCTGGGTTGAGATCTCCATTTTAGAATCTCCCCTGCCTTCTTCAGTTGAGAAAGAAAGCTTCAGATGTGCTGTGGGCAGGCAGGTACTCCGAGAAAACCATTACAAGAACTATTGAGATATTAAGACTATTGAGATAGACTATTGAGAAACAGATATAGATTGAGATACTGATATTGAGTAATATTGAGATATAGATTAAGATAAATTTAGTATTGGGATATTGAGCTATATAGAAGCATATTGAGATTTGGATAGAGAAGCTTTTGAGTACTATAGAGTTAGATAGATAGAATAGGTATTGAGTTATATATTGAGCATTACTTCATCTCCAAAGCTAACCTTGAGCTATAGATAGGGAAAAAACCTGAGTTTTTTTCTAACCATAGCAGCTCAGGGTTAGGGTGAAAGATTCCAGAATCTTATCTGC